TATACCTATGCAATACTGTGTGAGAAGGCCCGACTTAATCCATAAAAAGATAACCTCCATTGTTAGCCAACTGCCAATATTACTATGGTACTTACTACAAGCCAGGCATAGTTCCAAGAGCCATAAATTAACTCATTATAGAGACACTGAGATAAATAGGTTGCCCTTAGGTTCAAAAATTGAATAAGTGGCAGATCTGTTCTGTTTTACCAACTTTGCTAGTCTGTAGCTGTGGCATCAACAAAGAGACAGGTTCTGTTGACCTGGACTTACGGGGCGGGGGGGCCTGGAGGAGGTGGTACTTGCGGTGAGATCTGAGAGGCAAGAGATGAGGGCCAGCAGAGGCTGGGAAACTCAAGGGGCAGGGGCTCCAGGGATCCTGGAAGAATGCTTTGAGGAACTGGGGGAATCCAACAAAAAAATCCACAGATGCTTGGCACCCGTAGCACAGTGGTTACGGAGCCAGGCACATGCACCGAGGCTGGCTGGTTTGAACCCAGCCTGGGCCAGCTAAACAACCATGACAACTGCAACAAGAAAATAGTCGGGCTATTTTGTTGTGGCGGGTGCCTGTAGTCCCAGCTACTTGGGAGGCTGAAGCAGGAGAATCACTTAAGCTCCAGAGTCAGAGGTTGCCGTGAGCTGCAACGTGACAGCACTCTACCAAGGGCGATATAGTGAGACTCTGTCTCAAAAAAAAAAAAAAAAAGACCACAGAGATAATGCCCAGTTTCACAGCAAGCCACAACCCAAGAACAGACCTGTGCAATTGAGTGCTGCCCTCAGGAACAGGGCCTGGCTCAACACCTTTTTCTTACTTTTATATCTAAAGTTTACCTGTGGCTCAGTGGGTAGGGCACCAGCCCCATGTACTGAGGGTAGTGGGTTCAAACCTGGCCCCGGCCAGCTAAAACAGCAGTGGCTATTGCAACAAAAAATAGCCAGGCATTGTGGTGGGTGCCTGTAGTCCCAGCCACTCAGGAGGCTAAGGCAAGAGAATTGCTTAGGCCCAAGAGTTTAAGGTTGCTGTAAGCTGTTATGCCACAGAACTCTACCAAGGGTGACAGAGTGAGACTCTGTCTCCAAAAAAAAAAAAAAAGTTGGCTGTTATCCAGGTTCAGTTTTAGCAAAGTAAATTCAAGTTTCTTTGAAACAAGGGGCAGATTACTTTTCTTTCTAGAAACAACTGAAGGGAGGAAAGCTTTTTATTTTTTTAACGAGCATGTATATTGCACTTTAGCATTAACAATATTATTTTCTCATCTCATTGAGAAGTGTTAACTTCCTCTATTTTTCAGATGAGGAAACTGAAACAAATTCACGAAAAGAGCTCAGACCTAGGCCCCATTATTCAGACTCCACATTCTATTTTCAATCATTTTTTATTCTTTCATTCATTGCAAAAAAAAAAAAAACCTATTGCACGCCCACATGTGCCAGGTATGCACTGAGCACACAGTGATGGTAAAACAGACACAGTTCACCTGATAGTCCCTCTTCTCTCTGTGCATCAAACTCTGAAGCAGGAACATATTAAGAGTGATAGACTAGACTGGGCACAGTAGCTCATGCCTATAATCCTAGGAGGCCAAGGCAGGTGGATTGCCTGAGCTCAGGAGTTCGAGACCAACCTGAGCAAGAGCAAGACCCCCATCTCTACTAAAAACAGAAAACTTAGCCCTGCATTGGAACAGGTGCCTTTAGTCCCAGGTGGTCTGGAGCCTGAGGCAATAGGATTGCTCAAGCTCAAGAGTTTGAGGCTACTGTGAGCTATGACACCATAGCACTCTACCAAGGGGGACAGAGTGAGACTCTGTTTAAAAAAATAATATTTTGGCTCGGCGCCTGTGGCTCAAGCGGCTAAGGCGCCAGCCACATACACCTAAGGTGGCGGGTTCGAATCCCCAGCCCGGGCCCGCCAAACAA